GAGGAAAGCAGACCTATACTAAAGGGCTGAAAAGATATTCACTCTATACATATATACACACACATATACATTATACATACACATATATACAGATATATATACACATATATACACAACTAGTCCCCCCCCCAATGTAAAAATGTTGCTGACATCACAGACTATTCACAAACATCAAGAGTAGACAGACCTTACTCAAGCTGAGTTTAAGGAAGGAAAATAACCATGACCCCGGAGAGTAAAGTAAGTTACAAAGGGAGAAATTCAACAGACTTAGAAGACAAAATGGTCTGCTCCCCCCCACCCCCAAAACAGGAACTCCAGGTAAGGACTGGGGGTAGGGCAGGAGTCTGACAGGGTTGACAGAGGCATGCATAGAAGAGGAATGAGATGAGAGTGTTAGGAAAATTAAAGTCACAACGGTGAGGTTTAAAGAATCTCCTCCTTTAAGAAAAAAATGGAAATGAAACAAGCAAAAAATGAAAATCATGAAACAAAAAACGTGAGAAATGTTCGCTAAGTCATGCTGAAATCCAGACAAGCCACATTTCAAGTTCAATGCCCACGTGTCACTCGTGACCGCCATACTGGCCTGCACAGGCTTAGAGTGATGGCTAGTAGTGTCTTCACCAGACCCAAAATGCAATTTTAGGTCATTCTAACTCCAAAATCTATGTTCTTTCTGTTTGCGTAAACTATCATTAGTTTGTATACACGTGACCCTCAAGTATTCAATTCATACTAACCAAATCCTTGGAAGATTGGAAGATGAAATGTTAACAGTTCAAATATTTAAAATTAAAACAAAATCACAAAAACTATATGTGTGTTTAAAAGTTATACATAAAACATTAATTTCAAAAGTTAAATAATAAAGTTTAATAAGGTCTGTATGTACACAAATTATGAACATAATACTTTAATATTTACAAGAGTGTTCGTGTCTGTTATAATCAATACCTGTTTGGGTTACTTTAAAAGCTAAAAATAATTAGCATCGTCACACAACACACGTTACTATCATCTGGAAGGTAGATACTGTTTGGAAACCCTGGATTATTTATGAATAGAAGGCTTCTATCAGTGTACCAGAAGGGAACACACTGGTTTTCTCATGAAAATACCTTTTCTTCAACTCAGGTAACACCAATTACATAAATTACATAGTTACATATATTAGACATAGTGTGTATTTCTTGGTAACCCACAGCCTTGCCACCTAGAAACTGGTAGCTTACCCTGGAGACCTCCCTCCTCCTCTCTTAATTCTCACAGACTATCAACCTACCATTTCTATGAAACCCACCACTTTTCTTCACTCATTTCTCTCCTCCATTATCACCACTGCAGTGCAAGCCTATTACTATCTTCTGTGACAAAGACCCTCTAGATGATTTCACTAAATCTACTCCTTCCCTCCTAATCACTCTACAATGCAATCAAAGTGATTAAGTTCTTAAACTTAAAAGGATTATGTCACTCCCTACCTTTAAGAAAACCATCAATAACGTCCCATAATACCTAGGCTAAAGACCAGAACACTGAACTACAAATGCTCCAGGATCCTGCCTAGGGATTCCAAACTGAACAACAACCAGGTTTACATCTTGATTCATTACATTTACCAAGCTGGAAACTTAACTGAATGGAGAGCGCGTGGCCCCTAGCAGACGCTGTATGAACTAGATGAATGTTGGGTGCAGCCATATCCTCTAATTTTTCAAAAGAAAACAGATTTAGACTTTTAACTGAAATCTTCTCATAGGCGAATGCTGGCAACTACATCAAACTTATGAACAAATATGCTGGGCCTATCTGATTACTCATCTTGTCTTTTCACCTAACCCCCTACCACTAATCTCTACACCAGCCATACTGAACAGTTCTCAGGTCCTCATTGAGACCACGCTTTCATTACCCAAGGACACATGTTATGTCCTCAGTTTTGACCACTTCCCCCCTCGCCCCCTCATCTCTAATTCTCAGCAATCTCCAACTGGCTCTGAACTTCTAAGCCACGGCTTCTTTCAGAACTCTTCTATTCCCTCTGCCCTTAGCCCCTCTATAGGATAAATCATACCAGTGCATGCTCTAAAAGCACGACATACAACTTCATAACACACCTCAAGAATTATTTACTTAAAGCCCATCATGCCGCCCGAACGGTAAGCTCCATGAAAAGGTCTGGCACGCAGAAGATGAGCAAACATGGCTGCAAATACACAGTTGCTAACTAGTTCCTTATAAAACATTCCTTTTCAGAAAACAAGGCTCTGCTGTACTTTTAAAATATTAATCTACTCCCAATCTTTCAGAATATGTAAAGTGTTAATAGGTAAGTAGACGCAAAATTAAAATACTCAATTAAAACTATACTGTCAACAACTATAACAGCTAGTCTTTATTATTCATTAAACAGGAAAAACTATACTGAGCACTTTGCACGTCTATCTCATTCAATGTAAAGTACATGTCACTGTCATGCAGAGAAAGCAATTTAGTTTAAAATTGTGCGCAAGATTACATATCTAATCCACAACAAAATTAAGGTATAAATCCATGTAGTCTGACTACAGAACTTAAGCACCTAACTACTACATTAATTCATAAATTAATAAAGAAAAGCCAATTCAGCAAGCATCTCTAAAACACTGAAATAAGAAATGGCTATTTCCCATTACACGTTAGCTACAGGTTCCTCATCCCTCCATCTCGAACCTTTTTTCACAGATCCCAAATTATGGTAAATTATCAACTGCATTTTTCAAATTTAAGAAATCTTCTTGACCCACACCCCAACTATAATGATCTTAGTATCAACTTTAATTCAATTTTAAAAAGCTATTGTTTCTGAATTATTATTAAACAAGTTTACAGTTGATGGTCTGCATTTCATAGTTTCAACTCACTGAGAGATCTCTATTTTGAAATGTATGTCACTACTCAAATTAGAGTCCTTATCACTAACAATTAAAATTTTTATCACAAAATCACTTTCAGGTCTGGTAAACAACAGATAATATACTAATATAAAAATATACTGAAATAACCACAGGAAATGGGCACAGAGATAATAGAGAGATCCCTCAGTTCCTAGAGGCTGAATTCTTGCTTCTAAAACTCAGGACCAAGGAGATTTGAATAAATTCTCACACATTATCACTTACTATCTGACAGCTCACGTATTAACACTTACTATTCAGAACTCAGACTTTAGCTAACCAGTCTCTCACACTAACTCTAGGAACCCAATCCTTTGGATAACAATATGCAAGCAAATGTAGTCATGGCTACAAAAATTTAAGAGTTCTTGTTCAGCAATTTGACATTTTTAAAAATGTGAATTAAAATGCACACACCTACACTTTCAAATTTTATATTTTAACTACTCAAGAGAATTTTTCTACGTAAATGTCTTTGAAATACTACCATAAATACATATATATGTCAAGTGTGTGCAAATCTATATGCCCACACCGTAAAACTGTAAGGCCACTGCTTAGTAAATGACAGATTACTACGATAGAGCTAAATAATGGCATGTGGCTACCAAGAACTCTGAAGGCAGTGTCAGTACCTTCTGTCCCCAAACATGACCATTTATTAAAAAAAAAAAAAAAAAAAAACAGGAGAAATGTCAATTTTTAGCAACACATTTCATAGGTCACAACAGATTTTTCTCAAAGTCACAGAGGGGAGAACATAAGAAACAAATCAAATGGTACAGAAGTTGAAGATGATGGGGAAAAAATTAACTTACAGAAGAACAGTATGTAAGGATTTGAGAATCCCCCCACAGGCTTCAGCCGAAGCCAGGGAGCCAGTACGCAAATAATGGATTACAAACTTTCCCCTCCAACACAGGGCACCCTGACTTTGCTGGATTAGTAGGCTATTTTTGGATTTTGGAACACCACTGCCACTAAAGTATATGGAAAAGTTTTTTATTCTTCCTAAAAAATAACCTACCAATTTATAAGATACAGGAATGTTCCACTGTCAAATAGTGGGGGGAACCTGTAGCAGACTGAGAGCAGCGTTAAAACAGCTCTCATGGCAACAGTGTATTTTCCCAAATATTTAACACATTTGAATCTAACTCTTCAAAACCTGTGCTTGCTGGAAAGTTAAAACTAACTCGGGTAAAAACAAAATCAAATCCTATTTTCTTCACATACTCAAAAATTATTTCAAGAGCGAGTAGAGGGAAAAAGACTTACCAGACTGAAAAACTAGGTTGGCGAGAATGCACCGAACCTCCCCAAACCTGTCTGCCCGCATGAACTGCTGGAGGGCCTCGGCGGCGCCCACCTCACCCTACTCAGGCTGTACTTTCCGAGCGCTGCCCTGAGATGCCCTGAGATCGCGACATCTGACAGTCAAATTCAAACAGTGACCTGACAGTCGGCCTCTCACATGAACAAAGGAAAAAAGTCGGAGCCAAGTGAAATTTCTAAAGCAACAAAACCGCGTCCACAAGACGCCCAAGGCGGAATGCCCGAGGGATGCCACAGCGCACACCGCCCCACAGCCTGCGACTCAGGGAGTGGCCGGTGAGCGCTGCCCCGTGCCTCCCTGGCCAGCCAGGCCCACTGCCCGCCTCAGTACCCGCCCTCAGGAGCACAAGCCCAGGGCGGGCAGGGGCCAGGCAACCTGTCCATCCTCATGCGGGGTGCCTGTCCACACGCGCACCGCCGCTGTCCACATCACAGCAGAAATGTTTCTCCGCTGGAATGTTCCCTCGACCACCACCACAGAGCAGCCAGGGGGGTTCAGATGGGGCCCCCGGAGCGCTCCCGTTAAGGGCTCCGCTCTGCTAGGGGTGAAATGGCAGTTACCAGGGACTGGCATTCGCGGGGAAACTGACAGACGGCTTAGCGCGCGCACGCACACGCACACACACACACACACACACAGACACACACACACACACACAAGCGGGTGCCACGCACGAGCCCTGGCCCGGCCACACGTCCACGCCGCACGTGCTGCCACACACAAACCTGTGTCTCTGCTCGTCGGGCCCGTGGATCCAGAAGACTCCGGGGTGTTTCGCCCCTTTGCTGGCACCCACGTGAGGAATTAACACGTCCTCCAAACCCAGGTCAAAGCGTTTGTGTTTGGAGGAGTCTGGAAGGAAGAAGAATGCCCCAAAACACAGGGTGATGAAGGCACTTAGAATGAGGAGCAGGATAAACTTCTCGGAGAGTCGCAGGGTGGCCCGGTGGTGCGGGAAGGAGGGCGGCCCCAGGGTCAGAGGCGGGATCCTCCGTCCAGACAGGGGCAGCAGGGCCGGGGTGGTCATCGTCTCGCTCGCGGGCCCGGCGCCTCACAAAGTTCTCATCTTCGGCCAAACGCGCAGCGCCCGCAACAGTCTCCAAAGTCTCGGCCGGCGCGGACACGCAGCCTCCGCCTCGGCGGGCCCCGCTCGCGCTCGCGCAG